CGATGCCGATGCGATGTCTATGGCAAATTTTGCTTTTGAAGGCAACATAAATTTTTCAACCGATTGACTCAGCAAAATGACCATGAATGTGTGACATCAGCATTGCTAGCCGCCAACAGCCAACAGCCAACAGCCAACAGCCAGCTGCCTCTCCTGCTCCATCATCAGCATCCTCATCATCATCATCATGATGATTATAACGAAGCTGCCCGAGCTTGGCTGCAGAAAATATCCAAAGGTAAACACGTGCATTGCCTGCTTTCGTTATCAGTCGGCTTGCTTGCCCGTCCAGTCCAGTCCAGTCCAATCCAATCCAGCTCAGTTCAGCTCAGACAGACCACGCCCACATTGGACGCCTAGTGCTGCGATTTGACACTTTGACGTTGCTTGAATTTGTACAATTCTCCCCGCCAGGACTCTGTCTACTCCCCTCCCCTTAAGGTCTATTCGCTCGAGTGTTGAAAATTAGCCTTGAAAGATTTCCGCAGCATTGCCCTGGCGGCTCATTGGGCTGCTGAAAGGCGACGAGTCGGTGCTACACAGATTTGATCAGCTAATTAAGTGCCACATGCATAGGGCTATCGGACTCCAGCTTAGATGACCATGGAAATATTTAAATACAACAAGAGCAACAACAACAATGCYCAAGGCTATCAAATGCGAATGGCTTCTGTCTGACAACTAATAAAACGTGCGCTAAATATTTATGAACTTTCATTTTACGACACCTTCGAAGCCAGCTGCAAACCAATGAGAAAGAGAGAAAATGCAAAGCCAAAATAAAATGCGAGAAATTGTCGTTGCGACTGGACGCTGGTCAGCGGCTTTTACATATTTAATTTAAACCAACAACAACAGCAACTGTAACAGCGGCAGCAGCTAACAAAAATGAGCAGCATACAGAAATTAACATAAAAAAGCAGAAAAGAAACAAGAATTATGAAAAAACCAAAACAAGGAAACAAAAGTGCTAAAAAAAATCACGTTTTGTCATTACCCAACAGCAGGAACGAGACATTAACTGGACTCGTTGAGCGTGAGTGCGAGCGGGATGCCAATACCGCAACAATGAAAGCGTTTTTTGTGGAAGCTAAAGTTTTGAGTGGAATGGTGCCCAAACAGAGAAAGAGAGAACAAAAGAGAGCCACTTTAACATTGATATTAAATATACACACACATACAGTGAGAGAGAGAGAGAGAGAGAGAGAGCGCGTATGTTTACTTTTTTATGTTTGCTTTTTTTTTTTCTGTTTATAAAAAAACATTTTTCCAGCATTTATTTTCTGTTCGATTGTTTTTAATTTTGTAATATCTATTTGATGATTTTACATACAAAACTAAGAAAACTATGCTAAGATATGATTCACATTTATCGATGTTTTTGAATTATTCCCACAATCGACTAGATCGGACGAGAAGAATTCTGAAATGGCACTAGTGATACATTTTGATAATTGCATATTTGCGCTATAAAATATTTATTTATTATAAAATATGGATACATGTGTATGTGTGAATATTTAGTATAATCTAGGCTAAGACTTGAGATGGGAGAGCAGTATTCCAAAGGCCTAACTCTACCCTGATCTCCCTCTATCTCATATCTAGCAATACATCGTCAATTTTCAATAGCAACAAAACGTAATCATTTTAGATTTCGTCCTTAACGCAACTTTAAGCCAAAAAGACACTAATATCTGAGCTGCATGCAAAATTTAAAGCAGAACTTTTTGAAGAATGCGCCTACGAATCGTTTCATAGGCCAGGCCCAAGTAAGTCGCACAAAACAAGTCACGTTTTTTAAGCGTTTGTAAAATAAACAAAAACCAAAGGAGAAGCAAACTGCGATGCGCTGCAGGGGACTCGAGTGGGCTGTTCTTCTTCTTATTCTTGTTCTGATGCCATAATTGTATTGCATAATTTTAGCACGCTCCAATGTAAAGTGCACACCATAAATACGGCCGGAAATATGCGGCAATATATATTTTGCATACACACATACACACACATACATTTATATATATTACATATATCTGTGCATATATAGATATCTGCCTACTGGAGTTGCACACACTACTTTTCTCATTACAAATTGGATTTTGCAGTCACATTTCGCTTATTGCGTTAAAAAATCTATGTAAATTCCTTTATATGCCCATGAGAAAGAGGCTCTAACACTGCCACTGGATCTCTTTTCTCTCTCACTCGCTCACCCATTCACTTGCTCGCTCGCTGAGCTTGGCCCCATTTTCATAGCATACTTTTGTGCGCTGCTTCGTGTTGCAGCTGCACGTAGCGCAGCAGCAGCGGCATTTTGTTTGCATCTTATTATTATTATTGCCACAAAGCTACAGATACAAATGCGCACACACGCACACCAGCACACACCAACACACAGACACACACATGCATACATATAAAAAGCAGCGTCTGCCGACTGCCAAGTTATTGCGAAAATATAATTCACTGCACTCTTTTTTCTTTTGCACCATTTTCCCTGCCTCTCGCTCTGTCTATCTATCGCTCTCTCTCACGCTCGCACCGTGTCTGTTTGTTGCAAATTAGCTGTGTGGCAATGTGATAATAAAATTTTTGTGTGCATTTTTTTCGTTTTATTTATTTTTATTTTTGTGCAAAAGAAGTTTATTGTCTGCAATTGCGCAGATTATATAATCATGCTTGATAAGCTCTCGTGCCAGTGGCGCACTTTCTGCCCGAAAAGGTTGAGTTTCGGGCTTAAATGAAATGCCAAATCTTAAATAAGAGGCAAACTGAAGATAAACGAGAAACAAATGATTCAATGAAGAGCTGATGGGCTAAAGCAAAGGCAACAAATATGTGATATAATAATATAATAAAATAGTATAATAAG